AACCCTACTGAACTTTGTTGCAGGGTGGGTGGGAGGGAGGGAACTGAAGCTCTCTACCAGCTCTCCTAGAATGCAAACCCTTTAGAAAGGAGATTGTCATTGCTTCTGAATTTGTACAGCATGTAATCCAGTCTTGAAAAGGAGGTTTGTTAGGCCTTACAAGACTCAAGAAAAAACAAGACTTGACTATTGGGATGGTAAGCATATCTCCGTAGATTCTTTTATTTTCTATGTCTGTCATGCTACCCTCGTTTGCTGAAAGGTCAAATGTACCTGGCTGGAAAGTAAAAATTATTTCCAAGTATAAGACCTCTTGAACGAGTAACTCTTTTATTAAAATTTAATTTTAATTTAATATGTGAAGACTTCTATTTGCATCGACTTAAGTTGTCATGCTGCTTTGAGTTACACTGTTATGAAATATTTATCCCTTCACGTGCCTTGGTTTTAATGAGGTACGCATATTGGAAATATAAATACTGGACAACATAGAGATAATACCCAGTGAATCCAGTTGAACTTTTTCAGTGGTCTCAACTGGATAGTAGCTTGGAAATGGCCTCAGTGCTTGTTGTCTTTGCATTTTGCTGTTTGTCCTGTTCTCTGGGGTCTCGTGCTATCTCCCATTTCCTGCATGGGTACTGGATAGCACGTGGGACTATGCAGCAGGCTATGTGTAGGAACAAGAGGAAGTTTTCAGTAGTTGTTGTACTCTACTTGCCAAAGGCCGCAGCTCTTTCTTTGCCTTCTATCGCAAATAAGGTTGTAACATGTTAATCAATGGTCCCGCAGCCAGTCAGCTGAACTGAATGATGTTTGTGCCTGGGCAGAACTGGAAGTGCAGAAGCTGTAACTATTAAAATTGTCTGGGTTGTCCCATGTTAAGGTTGCCTGTAGCACTCCATGAACTGTTTGCTGTCTTTTCACTGCTGATTTCAGAAATTATTTCAGGTGCTGCAAGGCCTTTCTTTTACTTGCCATGTAAACCTTTGTAGTATTTATCCAGAGTTTGGTTGCTGAGTATTTGAATTCAACGTATTCGGAGTCCTCTGTGATCTCGATGATTAAAAAGGCCAAGAAGATCCATTTTGACCTCCGTGAGCTGATCAGTGCCAGCCCAGAGAAAGAAGCCGTGTGCGGTCAGTGACAAGACAGGGATTGGTGTTAAAGTACTTAGACGTTTGATAATGGGTGTGAACCTCAGAGTCAGAAGAACAACTTGAATAGAAAAGGCTTATACTTGGCAGACTGGAAGCTTTCTCTTGCTTGGCCATTGAGCAAGTTTTTGGCTCATGGATTGCCTCTCTCGAATGACTCTGTCCTTATTTACATATACACAAAGCAGGGCTGTGTGGTAGATCTTGATCTTTGCTTGCTAATGAAACCCTATTGCTAATATGAAGAACCTCCAGCAAGGTCTTTTGTTGATTTTAAACAAAAGCTTCTAATGCCAGACTGGATATAAATAGGCTAAATAGCAGGCGTTTATGCCATTCTGTGCTTACAGCATACTTCCTTTTTTCTTTCCAGGTAATTTTGAAAAGGAGTACGATGATGTGACAGTCAAAATGATCTTTGCAATCGTTCAGATTATAGGATTCTTCAATTCTATTTGCAACCCTATTGTATATGCTTTCATGAATGAAAACTTCAAGAAAAATTTTTTGTCTGCCATCTGCTTCTGCATTGTCAAAGAAAACGCATCACCAACCAGGCAACTTGGGAACTCAGGGATTACAATGAGGTGGCAAAAAGCAAATGTTTCTCAAAGGGATCCCACTGACTCGGATGAAGCCAGAAAGGAGGCATTCAGCGATGGCAACATTGAAGTCAAGTTCTGCGATCAACCAGCGTCAAAGAGGAACTTGAAAAGGCACCTTGCCTTATTCAGCTCTGAGCTTACTGTGCATTCTGCATTAGGAAATGGACAGTAGCATCACAAAGGTTTTGAGAATGGAAAAAGCATTCTCTTTGTATGATAACTTTCAATAATCCATTTAAAATAGTTTTCTACTTTGCATGCTGAAATGAGGGAGAAATATTTTGTGGATTATAGTGTTGGGATAATGGTTGAGCAAATGTAATATATTTTATAAGGATGAGGAGTAAAACTTTGGAAAACGATATTACTGTATGATTTCTGGGTGTGGGGGGGAACCCAAACATTTTTCTTCCTAAGCTAATTTAAGGCTTGTTTGCCCTCTGCTTTAGGTAAACCAAACAACTATGGCTTGCTCTGTTTATTCTGTGTCTGGATGCTGGCACACTGCTGGACCATACACAGCTGAATGCCGGAAGAAAAAAAAACACACTTTTTTTGGACAACTTGGAAGTCGGATATGGGTCTAACACTGTAAGATCTGCTCTCTACAGCTCTGAGGACAGAGGAGCTTCAGATCTGAGTTCAGGAAAAATGTACACTGAAATGCAATGCCATTTTGGAAAAAAATGGTATGAAAGAGCCAGCCAAAATTTGGTTCTGAAGAGATTAAGATTTAAACAATGCACATGTTCAGATTTTCTTAACAGGAAACATATTAGAAATCAACAATGCATGCATAATTAATGTGCTGTTTGTAGGGGTTACTTGGGTACAAATTTAAATGCCAGTGTACTGCCCTGTAAACGGCATTGTTCTGCTGAAAAATGTAGAAGTTGAAAAAGTGCTTTACAGAAGTGTGCAGACGCTGGAGGTGCGGTCTGTAGAGTAAACACTGAGTTTAACTTACAGTCATGCTGGGCTGTGTGACTTAACGGGTTGAAAGTGTTGCGTTGCCATTTTCTGGAGGGATATAAGGGCCAGATCCAGAGCCTGTTGGGACTCCACACAAGACTTTCAATTTAATATCATGGTCTTTTGACTAGATGCTTCTCTGAAGACATGCACAAGTTTTTCTGTCTCTCCATCATCCTCAAAGTGGATTAATTACTAAGAACAGGGCCAGTGTTGTGTTATTTTTTTTAAAAATCCATATAAATTCTAAATATCTTTGCTCTCAGTGGGTCAAACTGAAAAATTGTAAAAGGATGCTTACAAGCATGGGACCTGGGGAAAAGTGGGATCTGGAATGGTACACTGCGATCTGATCCTATGAATGAGGCTTTGAAATACATAATTTGCAACTCCAGCTGAGGTTAGGTTGGATCCTGTAATGGCCTGTGAAATATCAGTGCACTCTTCTGTCATCCCTTGGCTCACCTAAGGGGCCTTGGTGCTCCCTTGGCAGTAAATTTTAAGATTCTTTTGCATTGCTACTTTACACGTCATTGTAAATGAAAACTTAGTCTGAATTATCCTTGTGTAAATTGGAATTAATCTGATCCTTCTGCAATATTTACAAATTTCCATGGGATAAGGCATACTGATGCTGCTTTCTGACATACTCTATTTACATATATATTATTTATATTGTATATGATATACTCCCATGCAATGACAGGGGAAGATTCCTGACTTGTCCTGACAGCCAGGAATTAAGAGCAGTCCTGTTCACATAAGCATATGTATTAGATAAAATAACAATTTTGGAGAGCACTATGTGTGGGTGAAACAACATGAGAAAGGTCAGGTTCTACTTTAGACAGTCACGCAGACATGGCCCTGTGCATTACCTTTGAATAATGCTGTAAGCAACAGCAACGATTTTTGCCTGCAGTTACAACTGTGACTGCCTTTGAAGACCGTGTGTGTCTTAGCTTGTCTTTTGTCTTTCTAGACAGGGGTCTTCTAGTACAAGTTTTCTGCCCTGAAGAATAGGGGTAATGGTGGTTTAGCATCATAGTTTTCCTCAGTTGGTATAAAGTTTATCTGGCTGATAATGAGAACTATGTGTTTTGACAGATCCTGTAACTGAAAAGCAATTTATTTTAAGCTTTTTATTTATTTGCACTACTAATTTCAGTGGCAGATTTTAACAAGTATTTATCAAAAACTTCCAAGTATTTTATGTTTCTGTTTTGTCTTAACTGTTTCTTCTGTCTCATAAAATGCTATGTCAACGAAAAACTGTTGTAGTATTGTATTAAGTTTTTAATTAAATCTCTGTTTTGGCATTGCTGGTGCTGCTTTGCACTGGGAGCATCTGCTATAAGCTTCGTTCTTTGAGACTGTCTTTGTTTAAAGATTTGTATAAGCTTCTGTGTGCTTCTTCAGTGATTATATTCCAGTCCTGTCACAGGTGCCAGCTGTTACTGTAATCCTGAGAGATGTCATTTAAAGGACTTTACAGAATAAGGTGAGGGGGAAACTTCCAATCTCTTGGTAGGAGAGAAGTGGTAAATGTTTTGGCACATACTGTGTGTTTTTGCTCAGAGCCAGATAATCTTGTGAGAAGTCCTAGCTGCAGGGAATAAAAAAACCTTTATTGACTTAAGCAGAACCAAGATTTTGCCCATTTTTTTTTTTTTTTTCATCTGTCAGAGCTTCTGCTTTGATTTAACTGACAAAACAAATTGTTCTATTGAATCAGGTCAGTTGTCAGCCCAGGCTAGCAGCCTGTCTCTTGCAGTGGCTCATATCATGTGTTTTCTGCGTGCATGGCTGTAACTGAGTACTTCCAACCAGTGAGTGCTAGCGCTGCTGTGGAAAGAACAGCCCTGCTGTCCTCCCAGCTTGCCTGGTTATTCCCATCTTAGATTAACAGAACTTCATCGTGAATCTGATCAGAAAAATTTTCTGGCTAATGCTTTTACTGGAGAACAGAAAAGATAACCACGCTCATTTCCATAAACTGAAAATATTTATCAAAACTGTTGTGTTCTTTCAGGGGAAAAATGCCTCGTCAGAAGAGTTTCTTTCTAATATCTTAGTTATGAATCACTTGTAATTTCTTTGACTTTAATCAAATTAGAGAGAAACTTATTTTATTTTCAGCTGTAAGGGGTTAAGCCTTAAAGTTATGATGAGATGTTGCCAGGATCTGGCATGTGGATGAAGACGAGAGCCTGAAAGGACACATTCAACTGAACAAAGACTCTGGTAATTGGAATGGACCAGGATAAAGTGTCAGGTGTGTTGTCTTGCTCAACTGCAATCAGAGTATGAACAAGGAAAACAGTGAGTAGAAGGAAGTGAACCCACTCAGTAACTGTCTGTAACAGTGCATCTGCTACAGAATTCCCATTTTGCGGGAGGGAAAAAAAAAAGACAGTTTGCAGACTTATCCCTCTGCTTACCAATACCCAGACAACTGAGCCCCTGCTGGCAAAGTCAGGACCAAAATTCATTCAGAGCAAGAAGTAGAGTTTATGAATAACAGAAACTCCATTATAAAAGAAACCTGAATGACTACTGTTTGCAGCACAGTCTGAAGCAAAGCATTCAACAGAGGTGTGATGAAAGGCTCCCAGTATGAATACTGGGAAGGGTATTGGTCAGGTTGCAGCTTACATGCTTTCTGCTGTGGAGCAGATTTGACATCAAGATAGGTGGAGGAGTGGGTATAACTCTGGTAAGTGTCCTAATGAATATGTACTGACTTGGGATCTAGATGGATCTAGTCTCTTTGCATGGAAATGTGTACCCATAGTGAAATGTCTGAGTGGATAACATAAAATTGGGTAACAAATTAAAAAAAACAAAACAAGAACGAAATGAACTCTGCTGTACTGTGAAAGATCTGCTCTACAAATCCGCTTTAACAAGCTTATGAATTGCTTACTCTCCATTTTAGGTGTCTTTCCACAGATTCTGCTGTGAAGGGTGAGAAGGCTGATTGGACTGTGTTGGATTCACTCAGTAAAGAGGCTGAATTATAGCTCTCAATTTGTATGAGGGCTACTTTCTGTACTCTGCTTTTTGATATTCCAGTGACATTCCCGGGCACCTTGTGCTTTCATGGAGTCCCTGAACTCTGCAGTTATCTATTGCTTAAGATCATTCTTTCCTAACAATCAACTTCATTGAGTGGGAAGTAATGATTTGCCTTCTGCCTTTTGCCTTGCTTCTTTTTTTCACCTCATCAGTTTGTTTTATTTTTTCACTTAGCTCTGTCCTTTTTTTTTTTTTTTCTGTTGCTTTCCCTGAAGCAATACATTGAGTTCCCTGTGACCAGCTTATCTCTTTTATACAGATTAGAGTAACCAGGCAATGAATTTTGGTGATGAAGTGAAGCAGTCCTGAGTTGTAGAATTTATATTCCATCAAGGCTGACTATCAGTTGAATGAACTGCATTTCCAGTCCCTATTTCAAGCTGTCTGCACCCTTGGAAAGACCTTGCCCACTGTACCAGTTACATTTGGCTTACGTATGGTAAGAAAACTTGAAATTATTGAGACACCTGCACTTGTCTAACAAAGGGTTTGCATGTATTAGGGAAGCTGGAGATCTACTAAGAGGAGTGCCTGCAGCTGTCAGGCAGACACTTGGCATCAGGCCTGGGTGCAGCTGTAATGACAGTGAAGGTGGTGAGATGGGGCAGTGATGCGCGAGGTGGGCTGAGCCAGGCAGCAATGGTAGAGTTGTTAAGGCCTCTGTGGTAAAATAGATCAGCTTCACTTGACATTGTTGGCATAAACAAGAGATGTTTTCTGCCTTTCCATCTGGCCCACTGAGTATGTGAAGAAAATGTAACTTGGATCAGCTCAAACTTCCAGGTGGTTATTAATGCTGTCTTCCTGGTAGCTGGTGTGTAGTCTATATCGTTATTTCTGAATTTGACTTTATATATTTCTATTGACATTCTATTTCTAATGCTACTTATTGACATATTTCTATTCACATATTCTATTTCTTTGATTTTACATATTTCTAATTCCTAGGAAGTAAGGCTTCTCAATGATGTGCCAGCTGCACTGGGCGAGTTGATTTTTCTTGCTTCAAATAACAAGTGTAGATGTCTGTCTTCATTGTACAGATAACAGCTAACTATGGCTTATAAAAAGGTCCCGTAACTTTCTCCTGGAAGTCTGTAAAATACACTCTGTGTAGTGTCTTCTGTGTGTGACAACAGAAATGTAATGTTCTTCTGCTTTTTGCCTCTAACATATGGTTTCCATAGAGACATCTGTTAAGCACCCGACTTAGCTGTTACTGGGTTTGGTCCCATAGCTGAAGAGTTTGAAAGACCATGCAGTCTGAGAACAAAATAGCTAGAAAATATATAGCATCCCCATAGGTAAAG